CTTTGGGCAACCTGGTCTAGTGGAGGGTGTCCCTGCCCATGGCAGGGGGGTTGGAACTAGGTAGTGCAGAGCTGTCACCCCAAAGGACTCTCCAGAGAGAACAACAGAGGAGCAGCAGTATTGGGGGTTGGAACTAGATTATCTTTAAGGTCCCTTCTTACCCAAACTATTCTATGATTCTATGATTCTAAATGTTAAAGGTCCCTACTGAAACATTATGGCAGTAAACAAGAATGAAGAAGAATGTTAAAAAAAAAATGAAAAAAACAATTAAACATACACAGTGGGTAATGATAAGGTTCTATCTAAGATGTGAGTGTAAGTTTGACCTCTCAGCGAAATTTGTTACTGTTTTATAGCATTTTTTGACTGGACTGTCAATGTGGGGAAGTATTCATAGGGAAATAATTATCAAACAAATTAGAATCTAACCAGTTTCAATTCATTGTGTATTTCAGACCCCTCAGGGCCTAAGGGAGATGCCAAGCCAACTTTTTTCTATTGGTCTTTCATTGACAGCAGTAGGACTATTCAATTCACTGTCACATAGAATTTGGATTAGCGTGCATCCAGAGCTATACCAATTTACTCTAGCTGTTATCTGACCCATTATTTCAATGTCAATTTACAAACTGATATATATTTTTTTTTACAGGCTTGTCTATAAAAAGTCCAAGCTGAATCAGCTACTAGAGTGTATATATAGGGCTGCCATCTAAAAGAAGTATATGTCCATAGCTGAGGTAATTCACATCAATCCTAAATTGTCACTTCTTGGCTATCTACTTCTGGGTACTGTCTGCCTTTGTGACGAACAGATGCATTTCATGACATACAAAAGGCTGAAATTTGATGAAAAAGTAGTTAATGTATCTATCTGTATATGCTATACTTACGGAACCTTTAACAGCACAGATTAGGTCATTTTTCAGTGTGCAAAAAAACCCCAAACCTCAACAGGACAATGAAGGTCTGGCTGAATCCTGAATGTTACCGATTGTTTTCAATACTCAACCAAATGAGTAGAAACTGAGACTGTGCAGAGAACAGTTTGCAAAACAAAGCCACCCTGTGCATCTGAGAATAAAACCTGCAGTTAAAACAAAAATATGAGGCCACTAAGGGGACCTATTTATTCCTCAAGAAACCGTCTCCCATTGCTGGTATCACCCCAAATCTGACTTCATTCTTAGAAGATCTATCAAGATGCCTCTGGCCAGTGTGCTCCAGTGTAATTTGGATCTGCACATGTTGTCAAACATGCTTTTTGCCTAGCTACTGAATGACGGCTACACGAGTGATTAACAACTCACTGCGGGAACATGCAGCGTCGGGCTGTTTGCATCAGAGAGCAGCCAGTGTTACCCTGAGACGGGAGTTGCTGTTCTGTGTCTGGAAGGCAGTCACTCACTCCGATTTCTTCTGGGTCTCTGAATGCTTATATTTTAAGTCAGTCGGAGCAGAACTTTACAACTTACTTTTGGAAGCATGTGAAAGAGCTATTTGTCAAGCCTTTAATTTTGGATTGGTCAGCACAACTGAAAAGTCATACAATGTTCAGTCTTCATTCTGTGCCAAGCATGAGCTGCCTACAGAGGAGAACTACACCACGCGTACAGCAACTGCTCTTCAACTGTCATGTTCTAGATGGAATCTCAAATGTTTACTAATCAGAAAACAAGCCTTCCACAGTTCGGTGTACAAATACCTTAGTCTGGCCCTCTTCCACTGCAGTGAGGGCAATCAACTGGAAGCTCTGGAGCAAGTTATTGTGTGTCCATGACACACTGCAGCCATTCATCAAGCAAAGACTTTTAAAGTCACATGTAAAATATCGAAGAACATCAGCAAAGACTTCTAAGAACACAAGAGTACAGAAGGTATTTTACAGCCTTGCCATATATTAAACATACACTCAGCTAGCATATTTTCTTCTAGATTGTGTGAAGAAACAGTCTGTACTCCATCAGTTACTAGCACTGGGTAAATCAAGTCTAGAATGAAAAGCTCAGAATAAATATACATACATGCAATTCAAACAGAACACGCTCAATGCAAATGAAATTGCAATCAAACACTGAATTAACATACTCAATGCAAATAAACTTTTTAAAAAACAAGATGGACTTTTAAGCAGAAAAATTTTCTTCTGACATCCACCATTATTTAACAGTGTGGAGACAATGACATGCAGCAAGTTTGCTCAAACTGGCATGAAGGTGGATTTAAAAGAGCACAGTGCCAGCCAAAGGAGGAGTAGCTGGATACTGCACCAGATCCCTGGTCCTGGCTCCAGCAATGTTCCAGTCTCAGCATGAACTTGGTCTTACATAGACAAAAGCTGTTCATGACCGGTTACACCTTGTCCCAGCGAGCAGGAGCTCTCTAGCACAGCGCATTATTTTTCTCTTTGCAAGCCGAGGGCCTGGGAGGTGGCAGCGGGGCCGGAGAGCGGCCGGGAGCAGCCACCACCCTCCCCACGCATGGGGTGCAGGTGCCCCCAAGCAGCTCCTCGGGTAAGAGCTCACAGCAATGATGGGCACGGCCCGAATCCACAGGCACCGGCACAACTTCCTAAGCTCCACTCTAAGTGCCAGTTTTTAGACTATGCTTCTAATTAATTCTGAAGATTTATGCTGAGCCAACTCATTTTTCAGAGTAGCCGAGCCACAACAGTATCTAATTGCTTATTCAGTTTCTGCTTATGCTTCTATTCCAGTTCATAATCTATCAGACACCTCAAATTGAAGCTGGCAAAAATGAAAACATTCTCACTTGAAAGCCCCTTCCCTGATCCTCTCTATTCATCAACTTTAATTTTGCAGCTATTTATAGACCTGGCTGATGCCACAGTTCCAGACACAATAATTTAAAATGTATCATCTTAAGAGACTTACGTTGGCAAATTATTGAATTGCACTTAAATTTCAGAAGGCCCCAAAGATCCACATAATTAAAAATTACCAGTAATATAAGCAAAACTAGAAAACAGTAGTTGTCGTGGATCAGAAATACTGACTCTTTGTAATAAAAGTAAATGTGAAGAATTATTGATGAAAGATACAACTGCCTTTTTTTTTTTGTTTGAAGAATTCAACCTCTTACGAATTATTGAGTGAATATTTGCAACACAAGTCAGAGACTTCAAACCACTCACTCTAGCAAAGAGGTACTGAGAGGGATGCCACCAACAGTTTCACATAGTCTTAACTTCTTCGTGCTGTCCAGGTACTTTCTCAGGGAAAGTTAAGAAGGATATGCTCAGTATTATGTCATATCCTATTTTCCACAGACTTTATTCCCCCTTCTGCATTTCTAGTTAACATACTTGTTAATCGTGCTTCTTTTTTGAAAACCTGAGCAAGTTTGCACAAGCATATCAAATTATGGTTCACTAAAAACTGGACTAGGTGAGACCATATTATAGTACACTGATAGACAGAAGAGCTTTAGAACCACAAGTCCGCAAAATTTTTTATTAAAATAACACCAAATTTAAGAAATTGATGCAGTGCAAAGAAACTTCAACTCATCATACAAAAAAAAAAAAAAAAAATTTTTCCATCCTTAAAGATTTTTCCATCCTTAAGTATGTAAACTGCATTCCAATCCTGACATGATTGACATAATACAGAAACACTATCCCAGACGAATGTCAAAGTTAAAGACTGGCATGCTGGGCAAGGAAGGTTCTTATTCTTTGCAAGAGTTCTTTCTTTACACTGTCTGGTACCAAGGCTGAAACACAAATAAGAAAGCAAGAAGTAAAAAAGACAAAAATGGAAAATATGCTAATACCAACCTTTTATAACAGCTACTTCTATTGTTTGTTCTTGCAATTCTGTTAATACCTAAAGTAACTGCAGCTACTTGATCTTCATATAGCACATCTATGTGTTTCGCATTTAAAGTAGGCTAAAATAGAAGTCTATTGAGAACACTGTTGTTATTGGTAGCTTTTCGCCTAGCCATAGTCAAGAAAATTGGAAAGTTTGAGGGAGAGGATTGTTCAACAGTAAACAGGTTATAATGACCAGAAATTAGCTTGATTATCCTAACATTTTTCTTTATGAATTTAAAACAAAAAAAACCTCAGCCATGAGGTCAGAGTAAGGGGCTTCAACATGTTATTTTGAAGGCCTGTTTTTAAGACTTAATGAAGTTTCTCCCACTAACAACAAAGCCTAGTAGTGAGTCCAAGAAGAACTATATAAAAATGACTGCAGTATTTCCTTAAGAGATTCAATTTTTCTCTACCTGTATGTTATGTCCTTTCCTCTTCCTACTTCCCATTACACTAGTACTGTTAATTCAGATTTTTCATCTTAAAAAGAACTGGAATTTTTAAACATCTCTTCTGCACACCCCAAGTTTTCTTGGGACCACTAAGTCAATTACAAAGATGAATACGGACTCATGACTAAATAATATAACCTGCAAAAGTAGTCTACACACACAGCTCATTACAGATTTTGAATGGCTGTTACACAATACAAATGCACGTTTTATTTGTAGTTAATGTTGAGTTATTAACATTTTTCCTTGAGTCCAAAACAGGCAAGTTCATAATGCTGCTTTCAAAGTAAAATATTAATAAAATACAGGTAGGTATGTTTATTGATGTACTACGACATCTGTGTTTGTATTTCCTTACCTCTGCCTTTGGGAGTGATTTCTGCAACCAAATCATCAACAGTAACGTGCTCTAATCCTTTTTCTTTAATGACATCTGGGGAAGACCAAGACCAATATTTTAAGTCTTTTAGTCCATTCATTAGAAGACAAAAATCTGTGCCAATGATTAAGAGACAAAACCTGCATGTGTAGGTCATCAGAGAATATGAAGTAGCATGTGACCTAGATGTAGGTTATTAATTCAGTACCTACTGCATTGTTCAGTGGATTTCGTCTCTCATTCATGCTATAGGTTTAAGTATGGGAACTTGTCACTACTGATGCATCTTGATCAGCTCATATTTTAAAATCAAACGTTTCAAAGTTTAAGCTTATCTGAGCACTACCAGATGTGTATATTACTGAAGTGCTATAGCAGTTCCCAAGTTGGTCCACTTATCTCTTCAAACACACTATTTACATACCAGCAAGAAAGACGTGCAATTGGTAAAAGACTTTGGAACATACAACAAGGGAGAGCACAGAGACAGTAAATACTTATTACTCTTCCTAACTGGATTAAACTTCTCTATATATATTTCAGCAAAGTAAAAAAGCATATCTGAAAGAAAGGTATATATCTACAGCAAAATAAAAGCTATGATTAAGATACACTGTATGATTAATACATACCAGTATTTAAACAATTGTCTACTTATCATGCCTTGAAGACTACTGAAAAATGCAGAAGTCAATGCTGAGAATAAACTTCAATTCAGTAGCATAAACCTAAAATATTGTGTCTAAATGTGATTGTTTTTAACTCTATGACAGTACATAGGGATTGATTGTCCCCAAAACACTAAATATGTTCTCTGAACTGACATCACATGAACTATTTGTAAACTGGTTTTCTTGGCTGAATTCCCTGTAGAAATTCATCCTGGATTGCTTAATTATTGGCCCTAATCCACAATGGCAAGAGACTCTGGAACAAGCTACCAAACCTGTCCCCCCTCCAACAAAACAACAAAAAACCACCCCAAATTCCCAAAATGCCTCTCTTTCCTTTCTTTTGGAGGTTATTAGGCCCTTAACAGGGACAAATGAACTTGTATTTGCATTCTCAGCAGCTGCAGTTACAGTTCAAAGTACTAATGTAAACCAAGTAACTTTACATAACTTTCCTATAGCAGAGTATAAAGTCTAGAATTGAGAAGGCAGATAAACATCCCTTTCGCTATCTGTACTACTGAAATGGGTAATCTCTGACAGTGGCATCAGGCAGACAACTGCAAGTGCGAATCATTTCAGCCTTCTCTGCAAATCCACCTATGAAAACAGTTTAACACACTCAGCCCTACAAAAATAAAAACTTTGTAATGGAATATTGAGTTGGCAGGCACAATGGACAAAATCAGAATTAAAGCGAAAGCTCAAGGGATCTGTTATTTACTTTAAGGAAATTTCATCAGACATTAATATTCCTAGATGCTTAAATACTATTCATAACAGTTTCATACAATTGGGTATTTAGAGGTTCATATGCTTGTTTTCTCTCATTTAAGTAGATGATCTGATTTTCAAGAATTGCACACAGAAAGGGTACAAACGCACTTCTTTCTCTCCCATACGCAGACAACAAAGTTCTCTTAAGTGTCTAAGTTGTGTACCACTGTACTTGCTCCATTTTCATTCACCTTGGTTTTTATTCTCCTGTGGTACAGAAGTCATCTCTCTCAAAACAAAAAGCTGTATCATCATGAATATTTAGGGAATCAGTTCCAATACTTTTCTCAGAAGCTTAATAAAGTTCAGACCAGAGAAGAAGTTTCAAGATTTTTTTGCCAAGATGCTTTCTTGCACGCAAAACCAATTGCCAGGGATACTTTCCTCTTGCCCAACTCTCATTTAAATAGACTGTGAGGCAGTAAAGCTTTCATTTGGGACTTTATTCGGCCAGAACCTCAGTTGACTACAAAGGATACTAGTTATTTGACCACTGTTACCTTTGCAATGTGCCTTCAACTGATCCTTCCAGCCGCATTCAATTAATTTGGCTCTCAGCAACTCTTTAAGGCTGTTAAGACAAAATACAAACTTGTCAGGAACACCAAACATTCCTGACACCTTAAATATGCTTCAGTGTGAAAGTTAAGCTTACAATTACTACTCATAGCAGAACTCCCAGCAGAAACAGCTGAAAAACATGGGAATCCTAACCCAAATGAGTACCAATTTCAGTTTACCGTGGTGGACTATGAGGAGTCAGCAGCTCAGGAGCTAATGCACCGTATTTCTTCAGGCAGCATTGATGCTGCAGCCACAGAAGTAGCAGTTCTTGAATCACTTGAACTGCCCGAGTCTACTCTGTTAGCGAACACATGCTAACTCTCAAAGTTAGACTATTTCACCTGAAATAGTATTTCAGTATTTTCAGTATTTCACCTGAAACCAGGCCTTCAAAATAAATAAAATCTTCCCCCCTCCTTTCCGAAAGGAGAATTCTGTACTACTGTTTTCAACTGCAGATTTCTCTCCCCAGTTACACTTTATCTCAAGTTGGGTGAAGATGAAGGGATCGTATATCTTATCCTCCTAAGCGTGATGAGCAATTAGAAGCATAAGCAACAAGGATTCAGGCATTAAACAGAGAAGCCCCACAACAATCTGCCACAATGCTACATCTACTCCACGTATCAAAAGAGAATATTGAAAACAAGCTAAAAAAAAGTGAAAATTAGTACTGAAAAACAGAAGGGAAAATGAAAGTAAGGTATGATAAAATAAGCTTTAATATCTTCATCCTTTATTCCATCAGCTAGCAAGCCTACTTATTTTGTACCATTCTAAATAACTCTAGCAAAATTCTGGTTTTATGAATGAAATGATTGCATCCAGAGGCTGAATTGTGTAGGTCTAATCCTTTTTACTCAGTGAATTGTGTAGAAGGCAGATGAACTGATGACAAAAAGAAAAGTAACAATGCAGGTGAAATTCACTGCTTCTAGGTATTTCTTAATTCAAGAAATCCGAGTGGTCTGTCTCTGATCATAGTACAGCCCTGATAAAGCTTGTTTACAATACAGCTTTTGACATCTAGTCAAAACTTTTCTTACTCTTAAATTAGAGTAAACCAGGTCCCAATACCATTTCAAGAACTTGCTTGCTCTGGTGAAGCTCTGTGCTATCTCCAAGGGAATGGTCACAACCAGGAACAAAACAGAGCAGACACCGTGTCAGTCTACAAGAGGTTACGCTAGGTACAAGGCTATGCGGTGACCTAGGAAGAAGACTCCTTCTCATACAGGCCTTGAAAAATGAAGGAAATTGAGATTTTGGTGCATGGCATTACAAATATAGTGAAATGATGGGGAGGGAAACATCATAAGCACGCTAGTGATGTGTAAATACAATGCAAATAGAACAGACTGAAGAGACAAAAGGCTAAAAACTAGCTGCCACGCCACACCGTGTAATTGTTTGCCTTTATTGGGATCTCTACAATGACTCTCACGAGTGCTGTTTTGTGTGTTTCACTGTGTATTTCTTTCCCTAACAAGGGAAGAGATCGGAACACCAGAAAAGCTTAAGAGCAAAAAAGGAAAGTTTTGTCTCATTATCAGGAAAGAACAAGATTTAACTGCAGCAAATTGTGCTGAATGGTGACTTTTATATGAAAGAAGAGCTTTCCAATACAATACACCAGAATAAGAAAAAGCTTTACAATTCCTAAGCCGAACACTCCATCATTTTCTCAGCTTCTCAAGTGTAAAACTAAAACAAAACTGTTCAAAAGGCAAAAATAGGGGTTTTTTATATAGCTTTATATAACACAGAAGACTTTCACTTGCAGGCATTTGAAAAATTTGGAGTTAAGTTTACTTAACCTTTACTTCAAGGAATAGTTCACGTTTGATACTTAAAGCCTCTCATTGGCTCGGAGGAGGCGGCCTACTTACCGTTCCCGCTCTCCCGTTTCTATCAGCTTTTGGTTAATGGTGGCTCTCATCTGGGCATCTTTATTCATTCTGGAAATCTAGGTTTTTCACAAACCTACACAGAGCAGAAAACGGTTTTGACAAATATCGGCGTCGTTAACACAACAAAACGAAAAGTCACTTGCAGCGAGTCACGCGCAGCGCCACGCCCATTTACACATCCCCGCGGCTAATGGTCACGCACCAGTACGCGCCCAGTACTAAGTACTGGGAGTACCCAGTACTCCCGGGTTTAGCGCCGGGGAGACCCGTAGGTCACCGGGCC